ACGAGTAATTGTATTATCATATTATTTAAGTATTTTAAGGATCAGGTGTACCTATACATAATTATTTGTGTCGTAAATAAATGCCCACCAATGGTGTATATATCGTATATTCATATGCATTTCCCAATGCTGGGAACAGGTTGCATATGCGATATTAGGGCATACTGTGCTACGTCGATGTGGACGGAAAAACTAAATGTATCTTAGAAATATTTCTTTTTATTATTTCGAAGATAGTTTCCCTTACGGCGTTTTCCTTCACTGCCAATCTCGTGGTAAATCAGCGATTAAAGTTGTATTTACCAATTTCATTGGTCCAACACCGGGTTTTGAATTAAACTTCTCTGTGTTTAACAAATTGAAAGCGAGGCCACATTTTATTTTCGCTAGAACGATTTTTTACGTTTTTTTATTAGCACCATTAAAATTTTGCCGGAACTTTTAATTCCGAGCTTATTCGTCGATGAACGGGGCAACGGTACAAATAGAGAAGTTTAGGGCAACGCAAACTCGTTGTCGGAGGGCTCTCTAGTCGAGGGCATGCTGGCAGAAAAAAAAACTAATGCTCTTGAATTTGCGATCCAAGAATCCTTACTAATATTATAAACGCGATGTTTGTATGTATGGATGGATGTTTGTTACTCTTTCACGAAAATACTACTGAATGGTAAATTCTAATCTTCTTCTTTACGTGTCGATGACAAATCATATCTTTCCAGCCCAGAACTTAGCCACTTCGACAGCACAATTTGTGGCATCCATCAGATCCTGCTGCGAACAGGTGAAAGGGCAGGCAGGACAGGAGATCAGATGGGCCATGGACTGCACTGCTCCATTCATACAGTCCAGGTCTGAGTTTTCTGAGAGTCCCCAACTGAACATATTTTCCTTGCTTCGGCCAACCTGAGTCCGAAGTCTATTTAAAGACTTCCAGGTTGGCCAAGGTAGTCTATGACCAGCCGGAAGACTCTCAGAAAGCAGGACAATGGATACTAATGAAACTTTACAATAATATAGCTTATACATCAGAATAGGACATAGGCTATAATTAATATACATATTTTTATGTATATCTTTGTCTCTGAATTTGAGAGAAAGATATACATAAAAGTATTCAGCCTATTCATTCAGCAGCTAGAAAGCCAATAATTCGAGTTAACCTGCTATGTCGTCTTCACTTATGAGTAAGAAACAATTTGATATCTTTAATATATATTTTAATATAAATCCTAATGAAACTTGTGTTTCAAACCAACAACTCCCATTAAAAAGAACTACTTTGATTCATCGAGCAGTAATCAAAAGAGCACATTCAATCTATGGAACCATTCAGCCACAAGTTTTTATAATTTCTTTTGCCGCGGTGTTGCTTTATTTCGGGATAATAAAGATATTAATTTGCCAGGGTAAATTTCGATTACAAAAATTTTAATGGAAAAAAATAACGCCGTTATTATATCTTTATCAAGGGAGGAAACAAAAAAGGCATAGATATTTATCTGTTTGCCCTGAAGCTGTTTGAAATTAGGACTGTTGAGTAAAATGTAAACAGGACCCCTTTTGTTTTGTATTAAAATCCATCTTAGCATAATCTTACTATTAGCAGTTTTCGGACAGAATTTTTGTGTAGTTTAGAAAAATAAATTATATCATTTGAGTACGCTGTAAAATTAGTTGAGGGTGATTTAGATGCCCAAGGTTGGATTCAAACCCATGAAGGAATACAGCTAAATACTTGCGGTTATTGAGCTGTCCATAACGGAGCGGATTGCAGTGAACAGACGCTCCAACTAAAGAATTAAATAGACCTGTAACAACGATATTTATCAGTTATTTCTTAATCTTATTATTATTTCTTTTGGTTCGATTGACACATTGATTATGTAGGTGTTGGTGGAAAGGAAAGACAAATAGAAATACGTATTCCAGTGTTTAAAAAAAGTAAAGTACCAGCCTAAAGGCCTCCTCTGTACAGAGGGTATCAGGGCATAGTCCACCACGCGGCCCCACTGTGGATTGGCGGAACATTCAAGTGTTAAAATTTTTCTTAAAAGAATTTTTCTAAAAATTGTACATAAAATTAAAAAACATTGACAAGGAACTTTTTTATGTGAGATGGTTGAAAGCGAGGTCGGTTTTTTTGTTATTAAGTGATAACCACCCATGCACATTTGCTCAAATCGTAGGGTTGTAGATGCGTTGCCACCTTTTAATAAAGTGCGCTCCGGCTACCACACTCAGTAGACGAAACGCCGAAGTATAACACTTCCACATCACGCCGGTCTTCTGCGAGATCGTGGTACTTTCCCGGATGGACCTGCCCATTCGTGCAACAGCGAAGACTGTTGCGTGACCCTACCACATTAAAAAAAGTTATAGGTAGGTTTTAACGTGTTTCTTTTCTAATACATAAAATTCTCGTGTCACAGTGTTTGTAATTGAACTCCGATTTTCGTGAAATTTTGTATGCATATCGGCCAGTGTGGAGAATCGGACAACATCTATTTTCTCATCCCCCTAAATGTTAAGGGTGGTCCACCCCAAACATTTTTTTGTACCCTACAAATAATTTATATGGCAAAACAACGTTTGCCGGGTCAGCTAGTTAAATAATATTTTTTTATAGAAAATAAGTTCATTGACAAGCAAGTGAAACTGTAAAATCAATGTCAATAAAATTAGATAATATATGTAAAATGTGGGCCACGCTAACTCAGTGGCCGGGCACTCTCTTTTAATTCAGTATAGGTACTCGTTCAACCTAAGTTCAAACCCGGTGCTGGCACCAATGAAATTATTATATCCAAGTTTAAATGTTGATTGAGGCGATTGAATTAACAGACAATGCCGAGAACTGTTCAGAGAATTGCTTTTTCCAGCAGTGAGATACAGGGTAAAACGGGACCCTAGTACTAAGACTCCGCTGTTCGTTTCTTTGTCTATCTGTCTGTTTGTCTGTCTGTCCTTCTGTCACCAGGCTGTATCTCATAAACCGTGATAGTTAAGCAGTTGAAATTTTCACAAATGATGTATTTTTGTTGCCGCTATAGTAACAAATACTAAAAAATAGAATAAAATACATTTAAGTGGGTCTCCCTACAATAGACAGCGCGAGTCTGACTTGCACTTGGCCAGTTTTTAACATGACAGATTAATAGTATTAACAATTTTATTCCTAAATAAATATAACGGTTGCATTTATCATGTAAATTAATTATTCCTTAAAAAATTTTTTAGGGTTTTTGTCAGGCTCATTCAGTCAATCTGGCACGTTAAAATGCTTTGGTGATCTTTGTTCTGTGCCTGTTTGACATAAAATTGTTATTGTTTGTGTGTGTCATTGACAGTATAAACGTATACAATGAACGTTTTATTTTATTTCATTTATTAGTAATACATATTGTATTTTATCATTAACTTATAACTTTTTGCACTTATTCTCCATATGAATAACTTTGCCATGCCTCACACTTTTCGTGCGCGGAATATTTTCTTATGGGATCGTAACTTATCGCTTCACGTGTTAATAAATAAGAAGATTAATTAACAGAAACCTACAAGATCCAAGCGAAACTTGAGGCGTCTCTTTGTTTGAATACAGTGGGTGTTTTCAAGGCAAGAGCGTAAGAGCCTCTAGTGAGCTAATATGTATACCAAATTATAATCATTCACCATTACACGGTACGGTAAAGAAATACTGGACAATTTGAAAAGTGCTATTCGCACCAGGCTCAACAAATAATTTTGAACCAAAAGAACCGACTTCAAACAGGAAACTAAAAAAACATTGTCAACACCTATACTATTTGAGGATTGCCCTCGATTTCTCTGGGATGCCATCGGCAGGTTTCCTTCATGGTAACACCCTTGGGATGTAACCTATCCAACAAACAAAGAATCATCAAAATCGGTTCATGTACGACGAAGTTATCCGCGGACACACATAAAAAAATATATGTCGAATTGAGAAACCGCCTTCTTTTTTGAAGTCGGTTAATAATTCTTGTATCATACAAATGATGACACTAACCCGCAAAAATCCACCTAAATCTCCGAGCGCGTGTTATTTTATTACGCTTTGACGGGTTGTTTGCTATTTTTATCAACCGCCATGTCTCCGGATCAGTCGCGCCACCGCTGTGCCGTACGTACAGTCACGATTGTGCGCTTCGTGCGTTACATTAGAGAATAAATGTGCGCCAAGGTCGTGGAACAAAAGCGGACAATTGTGTTCACGTATTATTATGTTAATAAATAGCGAACCCGCCCTGGCTTCGGGTGCAATGTATTGTACATATAAACCTTCCTCTTGAATCACTCTATCTATTAAAAAAACCGCATCAAGATCCGTTGCGTAGTTTAAAAGATCGAAGCATACATAAAGACAGACAGACAGCGGGACGGCTTTGTTTTATACAATGTAGTGATGCCACAGCCGATTCTATTTCATATTCCAACAACGTGTCCACGGATACTTTGTGCGAAATTTTTGCGAGCACGTTCGATCTTAATGCGGTATAATTAGAGACGAACGCGATGGCGAGTGACAGTTCATTTCGTATTAGCAGTTCGAAACCCACGCCTGTTTGAGTCTGATTGCGAACACTACAGACTTGGAATAACATCAAGGATGTTTAACTGCATAAGTCAATGTCGAATTTTCATTATTAATTTTCGGCTTGTATCAACATCTTATGACAATCGAGAGATATCACCGGTACTATACAAGACCAGATAAGAAACGACAGGAAACTGCGTGCTCTCGTTTGTGTTTATTTACATTGTGTTCGACCTACATTGAAATTAAAACCTTAACAATCAAAAAATAATAACTAGTAATAATAATTATTTTGACCGTAATACACATATCTCTCATTTAATCGGTTTAACTACGTTAATTTCAAAAATTACGCTTAAACGTGGCTAATCCATGGGTCCGATAAAGATTTCGCGGGCGCATTCCGACGAGGAGCCAATTGAGCGCGGCCCGCCCAGTGTCACGTCCGACGCGGTTGGCCGCACGTGGTGTACCGGTCGGAGTGGTCGCTACAAACTGAGCGTGCTCCGCGGCGACGCTTAGTCACTCCTGACGGGCCGCGCTGACACGCCATCTGCGCCAGACCCGCGGATTGTGTTCCTGCCCCCGCAACGCAATGGGTTTCCTCGGCGTCACGCTCTCCGTGTTCAAAAAGTGCCCCAACCTCGGCCCCAAGAGGAGGAGCGCCCGCAAAAGGTACGGACGTCACGTTCGGTGTGGTACATTGGCGGGATTGCGCTCGCGAATCGTCCGATGGGCCACCACGTGGTCCTGTTATCTGCGATATCTCCGATACGCGAAGTGTGGAATCTGTTGTCGCGATGTCGTGGGCTCTATTTAGATAAAAATAATGCAGCCAGTGACGTTTTTTTATCTCAAATGTAGGCCACTTTAAAGGAGACTAACATTTATATTTCGTAACTAATATATTGAGGAATCCAATTAATAAACAATTATTGTCTCCTTATTGTTCATAATATTTTTTCTAATTAATGACATTGTAACACACCTTCACATTCGTACCGATTCTCATTTCATGTGTATTAAATTATTATAAAAATATAATAAACATGTATGTCATACATATATTATATCAAAGACTTCATAAATATTATAAAGCATTTTTCAGTTTTTAATGTCTCTTAATCATAATAAGCAACTGCTTTGTAAAAAAAATTGTGGTGTTACTAAAACTTTAAATAACAAACTACTCATTGATTTGCTATAGATTAATGTATACATATGTCATTCATTGCTGCCAAGGTTTTAGCTGCACCAATCGAACAAGTGCTTTGTTTTTTCTTATAGATCATAACTACAAATTATATAAATATATATCGGGAAGTATCTATAATCGGTCTTGACATGTCCAATAACCTACCTTGTTATTGGACGAGAGATTTAATAGTAAAACTATAGATTTTATTTTGTTATTTTGCTTTTACACATGATCATATCAAATTAAACCTGTATAATATTCGTTCCTGTATATATGTTATTACGAATATATCCTATCCTCACTTTACGTTCAAATTCCACCAAAAAGGAAATAACAACGGAAACTACGTTGGTAGTTAGTTTCTACTTCGATCTGTCGTCAAAGGCAACGCAACGTTCCATTGTAAAATAATTAATGGCTTTGAAGTTGCACATTCAGTTGTTTGTGCCAGCCAACTGGAACTGGAAGCCGCGTCCGTGACGTCACGGATCACTGCTCACAGCTTGACAAACACGAAAAAACAGGCATCCCTCACCGCTGACATTCGGCAAATATTGTGGTCGCATTACAAAAATGATCTAGCCAAAAGCGTCTCATTACAAAAAGGGCTCAATTACACTTTTACCAATCTCCGAACTTCAGAAATCCTGAGGAATTACTAGAGGAAAATTGGTACGTAAAACTATTAAACTCAACGAGAACGCAATTATATGTTAATAATTAGATCTGCTTTCAGGCAACTTTAAGAAATTAACGTTAGAAATCTTGTCAACATTCTATATTTATTAATTTTTACTAATTTTATAAGGGATTTTAATTTATTTTTCAAAAGTCAAATTTTCAAACGTACATTTTAATAAAGTGATTTTTAATACTATCTACCAATAATGGACGCAACCCTAATCAAAAGCGTTATTTCAAGACACGACACAATTTCACACAACTTTCTGTAGTCAATAAGCAACGCTGTTACTATGGATACTAGTAACTTCTAAATATACTTAAACATACTTTTCTTTTTTACTAATATTATAGTTGTTAATAATATTATATTTGTTAATAATAATATTCATCGCACATGTTACGAATTACGATGTTACATTTTAAAACTGCAAAACCATTGCGTAAAAACAACTGTGTAAAAATTCAAATGTATACCAAATCGTTCGCAAGGCCGGTTTTAATCGAAAACTAACCGCGTAATTGACAGTTTTCGAGTAGCATTACGGTTTAACCGTTCGTTTAGGACTGATTTTGGAACAAATCGTCCACGCCATCAGCCGTCACATCACCTGACGTTAGCACTGGTAAAATTTTAGTTCAAAAGCTGACGCAAACTAGATAATAAATGAAACAAATCATCATTTTAACTTTTTCCTTAGCTTGGTGTTAGATTACTTTGCAAATTGATTTATTACAGTTTAAATTTTGAAATTCAGTGATCTATATTATAAAGTGTAAAAAACGATATCACTTGAGAGAATTCAATTATAATGTACCAAATTATTTTGAAACGAACAAAATATATAGACCACCGATTTCTTTTTCTCAAAGGGTGATAAAAATTGTTCAGTCACATGATGGGTTGATTGAATTGATATCTTTTTCTACAAATTTTAATGTTTATTCTTAAGTGCAGAGATTAGCACTATACAAAATTTAAATTTCTAAAAAAGAAATGGTGACATCTATCATTCGAATTATCGTTGTAAAACGATATTCGAAATTGTTCGTATGCTGGAAAGGATATAACAATTTAAGCGCGAAGCATTGCTTCAAATGCTAATAAACAATGTAGATAAAAGACGTTAAGATTTTCGTCGGTGTGGCAATCAGCCGTTTAGCTTAGTGGCTAAAGCGTCAGGTCGCGAATACCGAAGACGTGGTTTCGATTCCCACAGCGGCAACAATCTCTTCATACTTTTTCTACAAATTTTAATAAATATTTAATAGAATAAATATTAAAAAAAAATTAATAATAAATATTTAATGGAATTCTATTAAATATTTAATAGAATTCCAATTTGATTTTGAAATTATACAATAGTTTTTTTTAAATTTAAATGTGCCTTCTCCACCATGTAGATTGTGAAACAGCAATTAAAAATGCAATCAACAATTTCATTAGCGCCAGGACCGTGATTTGAATTCTGATTCTTCTTATTTTTAATCAGATATGAACGTTTCTCACGATGAGCTCGGGAACGAGTAAATTTGAAAATCTACTGATTCTATTACTACATTTTATAGATACGTGTTTGATATTTGCCATGGACATTTTGTTAAAATAAACTGTCTTTTAAATCTAGTCATAGGAATTCCGTAATAGATAATTATCTCGGCACGAATTTTGTTTTTGTATAACTTATGTTACGCTTTCAGTCCTTATACTATTAAAGCTTCATTGAACGCAGAACCGGTGCATGTCAGGTCCCACGGGTTTGGGGCCCTTATCTGGGGGTAGGGCCGCGCATCTAATCATGCGAGCGTTAATCATGGCATGTCGCCTACGGGCCATCGAGGTTCGGTGCGGACCGTGACCTCAATGGCCGTTGACTGAGCTTGGTTGGTCGGTGGCTGGGGGCGGTGAGAACCGCCCTGGAACGTGGCCTAGTGTACGTGTTTAACGGCACGATATCAGTTAGTTGCTTTACTTTACTGATTAATACTTAACCTCTGAACGAGAAAAGAACCGTCTCTCTTGTCATCTTTGGCAACACAAAGACACGGATAAAGTTCTTTATGAAAATTTAACCACGTAGTATTCCTAATTAGAATCAGCCAGATTAGTTTAGTCTGCGGTCGCTTGCCTTGAATTCTTTTTTTTCTCAAACAGTCCGTGTATAAATACTGATGCCGGCATCAATAAAATTATTAAATACAATTTGAAAGTTTGAGTTTCAAAGCGTTCGGCGGTGAAGTATTGTAGGAAATCTTGAGTATAAAAAAATCAAAGATAATATGTGAATTTTTAAATCAACACTTCGGCCAGACTGGTCCTAATTGAATATAGAGGTGACTTATGGCCATTGGCCACCACTGGATTATGTAGGCTGTTGTTACTATATTTTTTTATTAAGTCAAACATTTTCAATTAATTATCCAATTAAAATGAGGTTTATCTACAATCTACAATGTAACTACTACACAAAGCATATTTGTAAGGTTTCCGTTTGTACAAGATTTTCAAGTTGTATCCGTTGTTTCACCTAAAGCGAAATGCGATAGATAATATAATTAGGATAGACTTGCTACCGGCATTATGGAATTTTGTGCGTTTGTTTCCACAGAAAGTGGTAGCATTGCTATTATATTAAGTCCAATTTATATAACTATATAATATATAACTTCAAATATTTTTATTCGCACAAATAAATACGAACACGTTTTCATAAAACCTGAATGTTGTTAATCTTGTTTTTTTTTTTTATTGAAGAAAATATTTTTAAGTGTTTGTTTAAATAATATAATTTTGAATTACATATATTTTTGTAATTCGTTATTTAATGTTTATTTTGTATCTATTGTAATTTATTTTAGACATTCATTTGTATTTTTTCGGTTTCTTCAGCGTAATATAGAGGAAAAATTGATTTTAACAATGCAGATTCCAAATGTATTATTTTAGCAGTTTTGTATTGAATTGTTGCTATGACCTCATATTGTGCCCATGTATGCACGCTTGTCTGACGTCCTTATAGATTAAATGGTCATTGCCATAACCCCGCTCTTAAAGTATCTTACAAAAATGTATAAAAAAGGTTACGCGTAATAAGTGTGACCTAAAAGAATAAAAACATAATTTTCATGGGAAGGTAGTGGTAGTAATGCTGAATTAAATCATAGTACCTGGAGGACCGAGCTAAGCTCGGTGTTTTTTTTTGTAAATTATGTATTTTTTTTATTATTGAAAATAAAAAATATAAAAAATAAAGAAAAATGATCTGGTATATAAAAAAAATAAAAAAAATAAGTGTGTAAATAATGATCGTGATACGAACCACGGCTGTCTGTTTTGAGGCCGCCCGATTACCGACCGAGCTATTATAACATTTTGTTTTGCGGCGAAATTTGCCGTCATATTCGAATGATATTTTTCATTCCCTGATAACAGGGATAAAAGGACATTTTCTAAAAATGAAACCTAGATTCCGATTATATATACAAGAATTGCTCGTTTAAAGGATAAGATCAACATATTCTGTAGTTTATAGATTCCGTACTCAATTAAAAACTTTACAAATTACCAACATAAGTTCAATATTTCAAAACTAAATATTCTAAACAAGGCTAAACTTATACATTTTAATGAAACCGCTTACTTATTGTATCGCGTGTAACGTTTAAACGCCGGCATTTCGAATACATTCCTGTATTACTGGCAGTAGCTTGGGTTGGCGTTTTGGCATTGTACAGTATTATGCATATAGCAAGTTTAAGAAATCGTTCCTATTATTACGTTATGCTTCGATGCGAATTTCGTGCTTTGAATAGCATTATGTTTAAACTTTCCTAATAATTTCATTTCACCAGTAACAAAGTGCCCTTATAGGAGGTATAATGTATCCCCAGTGAAAATAAACAAAGACGACGTACTCCAGTGTTTTAGCTCGTTCGCATTTTTGTTTTTTCTGAAACTTTAAAAATACGATCCATTTTTGTGCGAGCTTCGCCGTAGCCCAATGGAATATTCACTATTTTCTAGCATTTATAGAATGTTGCAGTATATAGCCATACATCAAATTAAAATAAAGCTCATGAATGCGGGGTGAAGAGAAATTTAAACGAATTTGCACCGACTTATCATTTATGCATCATATTAATATTTTACATAAATATGCGAGGTAGATGATTTACGATCGGTTATAAATAATATTCTTTTCGTGTCCAACTAATATTTACCGATGAGTTGGGCATAAAGTGTTTGATTTGTAGGTTCGACAACTACAGCAAAGTTATAGCACAAAGTAATAAATATTATTATGTATTCAGAACGTTATCGTTGGTAACGTAATCATGGTAAAACGGTTTAAGTATAAAAGAAACATTAAAATTGTCTTTCGAGACTCGAAATTTTTTCTGAAATGGTTTATAACTTTACAAGTATGCAGCTACGATCTAGGTTAGGTCGCATTAAAGGGACTAGATAGAACCGGTTTTAGCGTATCGAATAAGTAACTGGTTCTTCTACTCATCTATCCATTCCACTCTGCGATGCCAATGCCAGGAGCAATGGTTATATCATAGCCGTTTCAAGCGATATTGTGAACATTAAGCGATATAATGAATGTTATGGTGTTCAGTTATTATTTCTATATATTACAATTTTAGAAGTGCATTACGTTATGTGCGTGTATGTGCTTTGTAAAATTTGTTTAAGTAATAAAAATAATCACCAGCTATTACTTACGTGATTTGTTAACATTTTTGGACAAGAAAACATTTAGCGACCGCGTTTAGGTACATTTAAATTTAACAGAGAGACGTTTCATGTCTATTTATTACCTTTCTGTTATATTCAGTCCATCATTTAGTGTAATCGAGGCCATTTCTTTAATAGATTGTG